TGAAATGCACTAGATCCAGTACTTCTCTCTGGAAGAACAGAAAATTTATCGCTAGTAGATTCGAAGTTAGCGCAGCCTTAGAATCTAAAAATCACCAAAGTAAAAACTTTTGGTCCATCTTTCTTTCTGCTATTAATTGAAACGTTGTGACACACACAAGACAGTGCTCTGCAGAGCCTCTCGGTACATGAGGTACTATGTTAGCGAGCTTCATATAGTGTAGAAAGTGACGAATATTCTCAGGACTAAGCAGCTGGATCGAATCAGTTAATGGGATGACAAATCCTGTGCGATCGGCTCATTCGCTTCGATGAGAACTTCTTACAGGAATACCTAGCATGCTATGAAGTCTAGTCATCTTCAGCATGCCTTCGAAGGAGCAGAAGAAAAACCATTAATAATTATGCCAGCAGGAGGTTGCTGGTGACAATTAACTGTAAACAGTCAGATGAACTGACAAAAAAAAAAGCCAGGCTGAAATGCAGCAGGCTTGCCGGCGCAATCATGAGTTTTTGCACCAGACTCGAAGTACTCGTCTTTGCACCAGACCTGAAGTACTGCCTTCACCTTCCTCTTGCGCTCACTAGCATAAATCATCATAAATTTTGCATTAAGAAAGTGAACTTCCGTTTAACAGTCGTTTTTATGCTTTTTTGCATATATGAAAATTGCAAAAACGCATATTGGGAAGAGGCTGTGTGTGTGTGTGTGTGTGTGTGTTCGCACTTTTTGTCACCCACTTTCAACTCGAGAACCAGAAAAGCTAGAAGGCTGAAACTTTGGGACTACGTGCCCATACCATGCGCGACCCTCCCGTTTTAATTTCATCCCCCTCGGACGCCTGGTTGCCGCGTAAGGACTCCTTAAAGAAACATGCAAATTTTTTGGCGGGAAAGGGATCTCGAGAACCACGTGAGCTAAGGGACTGAAACTTTGTAGGGATATTCCCAGTGCATGTACTTGCTAAAGGTTTCAAATTCAGCCCCCAGGTGTGCGTGACACTCACGTAAGGACGTATGAAAGTTTTAGAGGGAAAATTGCTAACTCGGGTACCAGGAAAGCTAGAAAGCTGAAATTCTGGGAGAATGTTCCCTATCCAAGTACAACTCAAATATTTCAAAATCAGTCCCAAGCTATGCATGGTACTCACGTAAGAGCATATGAAAGTTTCTGCAGGAAAATTGCTAGCTTGGCAACCAGAAGAGCTGGAAGGCTGAAATTTTAGGCGGATGTTCCCTGTCCACGTGCAATTTAAAAGTTTCAAATTCAGCCTTCCAGGCACGTGGAGTACCTAAGTACGGGCGTGTGAAGGTTTTTGGCGGAAAAATTGCTAACTCCGTAACCAGAAAAGCTGGAAAGCTGCAATTCTGAGGGAATGTGCCCTGTTCAAGTACAAGATAAATGTTTCAAATTCAGCTCCAAGCTATGCGTGATAGTCACGTAAGGGCGTAAGAAAGTTTCTGCGGGAAAATTTTAACTCAGAAACCAGGAAAGCTAGAAAGTTGAAATTTTAGGGGAAAGTTCCTATTCAAGTGCAACTTAAGTGTTTCAAATTCAGCCTTGAGGTATGCATGGTTCTTACGTACTGGCACTTAAAAGCCTTGACGAAGAAATTTCTCACAGAACAACCAGGTTACTTTTAAAGAACGACTGTTAAATGGAAATTATACATTTACTTTGCAAAATTTATGGTGAT